ATCTTCCCCACCAGCGTGTCTGCTGAGAACACCGTGGGGATAGGGCACTGTCAGCCAGGCTGGCCTGGGAAAAGCCCCTCCACCTGTGCCCCCGGTCCCAGAAGGGTCTGGGCAGCTGTACCTACCCTGTGGCACCCAGAGGGAGCCCACCACACTGTGCACTGCAGTGAGAAGCCCCATGGCCACAGCCTGCCCCAACACCCTGCTGAGGGCTTGTCCTGGGCACCTCAGGAAACCCTGACACTTCTGCATGTCTGGCCAAGACCCTGGCACCAGAAAGGGCAAGGGGATAGTGGTGGATCAGGCACCCACTGGCACTGCTGGGCCTGGCGGTTGGGAAGGTGGCGGGTGCAGCCCAGCCCAGGTAGGAGAGCTGGGTGCCCATAAAGCTGCTCCGTGCCCCCCTCGCTGTGCCACTGCCCCAGCCCCGTGGTCAGCAGCTGGTCACGCTCCCATGGCTGACACCACGGGGCTCCAACACCAGCCCCCTCCATCCTGCAAGCAGTGCCTTCCCCAGCCCCACACAGCACTGCTGTCCCATGGCAGTGGGGGAAAGGCTGTGCCAGGCTCTCAGGGGGCACTTCCCAGCTGGGCACAGACTCATCCTCCTGCAGCCCCTGTGCCCCAGATGTACCCCCAGGCTGGTGCTCAGGGCTGGAGGGGCAGGAACATGCAGCCCAAGCCTCACCACTACCAGCCACAAGCCGTGTCCTGCTGACCCTGTCCTGTTCCTGACCTGCGGCCCTGGGGCCTGTCAAACCCAGCAGCTGCCTGTGACCTGGAAAGCGGCCTGGGCCGTCCCCTCGTCCCCCCCACCCTGCTGGGTCAAGCTCCCAGAGCCCCAGGCAGGCAGAGGGATCAGGCTGACCCATGCTGTGGAATGGGGTGGTCCCTCCAGCCTCTGGGACCCTTCCACAAGCACTGCCTGGAGCACGACCCCAAAACAGGGCATCCTGCCAGGGAACCCTTGGCCCTACCTCAAGCTCTTTGCCAAGGGCTCCCCTGTCCCTTCAGCTCAGCCCCACACCAAGGGGCCCCCTGCCACCTCTGCCCAGCAGTGCCACAGCATCCCTGGAGCACCTTCCCAAGCAGCTGTGTCAGTGCTGCCCAGGTGGGACAGTCTGTCCATCCTGCAGGCCCCGAGGTCCTGGTCCTGCTCCCGGCTGGGGCTCAGTGGGAGGACAAGGATTCCCAGCGGCTTTGGGCCCTGGCAACACCGACCTATAGAGCAGCCGAGCGGCTGTCCCAGCACAGGGAGGCACAGCCACATCTGCCAGGCAGCTGGGCCTGAGCCCCAGCAGCGGTGCTGGAGCTCAGCACGGCCACCGAGCACAGGGAGCAGGGCTCAGCCCTCGGGGCAGCGACGGGACAGCCGCGGGGCCAGGCAGGCCGTGCCCCCTTCTCTCGCCGTTCTGTCCCCATGTTGCTCACTGCCAGGGGCAAGGAGTGAGGCTCCTGCTGGTCCCTGTGAGGCAGCTCCATGGAGCTGAGCAGCACTCGCTCCTCCGGCTGCCTCGGCCGGGACCGCCCCAGGTCCGGGGCACCGGGCCGGGGGTCTCGGGGCTGGGAGCGCACCGCGCCCCACACAGCGCTGAGGGG